CATAACTTTATGTAAGTCATCTTAAAAGGTGGTAAATGAAACCCAAATAGGAAGATTGAAACAATGCAAAGAGGTTAATTCTGATTCCATAAGGAAAGGATATCATGGTTCCCTTGCTATTCCCCATTGGGAGGTAGATATATCAAGCTTGATGCTACTGGTCAGAAGAATCAGACATCCCTTGGGTTTATTTCTGTTAATAGTTTTAAAACTGGTTTTCTAAGGTGTGGGGAGTAGGCAAAACTGCTCTATAAAGCTGAGTCTGATTACTTCAAGGTAAATAAGTAGGACTGCATTTTACACAAGGGATGGGCTCTATAGTCAGTGTATAAGGTGAAAACCACATATATTCAAAATTACCTAGAAATTCTCTCAACTAGCTATAGTGTGAGAAGCAAAGTCAGTGAAGCCGACCAGTGGGACAGTGGGGTACCAGTCACACAAGTACACAGTGAGGCATGCAGCTGACTTGCCCACCCTGTCTTTTTTTTTTGGTCTGCAAGCTCTAATATAGAGGTCAGCACATTTTTTGGTAAAGATTCAAATAGTAAATACCTCAGCTGTGTTGTTAGAACACAAAAGCAACCATAGGCAATATGCTAATGAAGGAGTGTGGCTGTGTTTCAATAAAACTTTATTTACAAAACAGATTTGGCTTCTGGGGGCACACAGTTTAGAGATTAGGAAGTAGAGCTGCCAGGACTTGTTAGTAGATTGAACATGAGGAGTAAGAGAAGAAGAATCATGGATTCTAAAGTAATCATGTGTTACTGTGAGATTCAAGTGACTCTGTCATAACTATGACTATCAAGTTATTCAAGTGACTGTCACCTGACTTTGCTAGCTATTATCACTTCTTCAAAAATGTTGCAAATAGTAAATGTTAAAAATTGCATGGTAAAGATAATTTGTGAAACACATTGCTGAACTAATTGGAGAACAAGGCCCAAAACAAGGTGGTTTTTTGGGGAACTGATAATCAGTAGAAAATAAATTTAATATGTACTATTTGAAAGGCCCTGCCCCAGGTGGTAAGGGAGTTGAGCCATCAGGATTATCAAAATGCATCTACCTTGAATATGCAAACAAGGCAAGAAGAGGATATGGTTGGTTTTAGTTTTCTAATGAACACAGTAATTTACCAGGCAAAACAGATTATAGGTTTTCCTGGGGTTGATATAAGCACCAGACACAATACATCTAGGACCTGATTTTTATGTTCTCATCTCCAGCAAAGAGGATGCAGGGACCAAACCTATGAAACTGCTGTAAGACGGACCCTGCTCCAGTGCTGTGGCCTTGGGGACACCTTTTGCCAGGCATTTTGTAGTTGACTGAGTCTGGAGCACACAATCACAAATTACAAGAGCAGGCAAGCACACCAGTGACAAGGACGGTGAGCTAAGCTGTGCTTCTGAGAAAAGAAAAATTCAGAGGACCTGCCATTGTCAAGCCATGCTGTTTACTCCACAGGAAAATTAGGAAATTTAGGTGAAAGGGCAAATGGAAAAGGGGCACATATGCTGTTCACACAGATTACCTAGATTCTCCTTGACTTCCAGTGACCTCCAGCAACTGAATCTGACACATATTCCTTTCCAGGCCTACTTCCAGCCCTTGATAACATTTTCTGAAATGGATGCTCCTCTCCTGAAGGCCATCCTGGAGAAGGATGCCTGCAATCAACCTCGACAGTCAGAGATCCTCAGAGGTGAAAACTGAAATTCCTGTTATTCTCAAAAATAAAGATATTCCCGTGGCAGCCTAAATGTCATGCTTGGATTCTCATGTGACAGAATGCAGCACCATAGAAAACAAATGTTCCCAGCACAGAAAGCATGTCTCTGCACACAGACATTCAGCTAACTTGACTTTTCTTCCCCAGTAAAAGGAGAACAATGAATGTTGAAAAACTTCATTAAAAAGATCTTAACATATTGTTTCTTTAAAGACAATCTTTGAAACAAATCAATTTAAAACTGCTACGAAACAGGTCATCTTATCCTTGTACCAGGTCTAATCTTCTATTCATGCTTCCCTTCACTGTGGGAGTTTGGCAAATTGATGGGGAGGATTTTTCTTGTCTTTTTAGTTAATGGTCATTAATGCCACATCTATCCTGACAACAGGCTGCAACCTCCGTTATCACTGAGTTTCACTTTTTCTTAGTGTGATCTGTGGAATTCTGACTCAGGAGATACCATTCATGAATGTTTTGGGTCAGAAAGTTTCTATCATTCTTTCTCAAACTTTTGAAAGAAAGGTAAATACGTAATGCTTCCTTCATAAGGAAGTCGTGTCTCAGCCGGTGCCCCTGGTTGGCCAGCATCTGTGTGCCCTGACCTTCAGCTGTTGGTTCAGGTCAGCTGGTACCTGCGCACTGAGCCAGCCCCTCACGGTGTGCGCCCCAAGCAGTCATGGCCTCGCATTCAGATGCGCCCTCCCTTGGTGTAGTGTGGCTTTGCTGTCTTGTATTCTTTATGAACAAGAGGCCTGCATTTTCCCTGGGCACTGGGGCCCACAAATGTAGCCAGTCTGCCTGTGGCTATCATACCAAGCCCCAAGCCGGTGAAGCATGCTTTAGCCCTGGATTGTGTGGTAAGACAGAGTGCCTCCTGTGTGCCACGCAAGGTGCTGAACACCAGGGATCCAGCCTAGCAAGGCGGCAGTTCCTGCCCTCCCAGAATCTCAGTGCCACCTGTGTGTATTACACAACGCAGTGCAGTATTCAACAGCGTGAGACAGCTTGCCACTCCTTCATGACCAGGGCTACTTCATAGCCACAAGCAAGAAATACAGTTTCTCAGTCACTGAGAAAATAGACACACCCATTCTCTACACTCTCTATGCCTGGGCAAGCAGTCTGCCGTTTCTTGTTCAGATGGATGAACTAACTTTCCACACCCCTAAAGCCCATCCTTCACTTGGACATGAGACCCCAGCTCTCCCTCACCAACTTCAGCCAAAGTTCCTTTTCTCCTGGATCACTGCATATGCAGAGTCCAAATATATTTCTTGCCTAAAAAATATCCCCAACTTCTCTAGTTTCCATCCCATTTCTCTATTACCTTGCAGTGTACAGAAAAACTAAAAGAATGTGCATATGTGCTGCATAAACTTCCTCTCCCCCCACTCTCTTTTGGAGCCACTCTAATTACACTGTTTTCTCCAATGTTCTGCCAACATCCCTTTTGTCAAGATCACCAATGATCCCCACTCAGTCAATCCAATGGTCAAGTCATAATATCCATTTTTCTCAAACTTTGACCAGCATAGCTGCAAGACTTATTTCCCTTGGCCTCTGGAGTACCTCATTCTTGGTTTTGAGGTCCCCAGCTCAGTGCCTGGCTCTCCCCACTCTGTATTTACATTTGCTGCCCTAGTCAACTCATCAAGGCAATAAGCTTTAAATAGCACCCGTGAGAGCTCACAGATTTAGGCCCTAAACCATCCTATGAACACAAGACTTACTTATCCCACAACTTTCTTGTCATTCCCCTCTTGGATTTCTGACAGACATTTCAAACTGAACACATTCTAAACAGAAACTCTGATTTCTTCAACACCACCTCCTCTTCCTGCCATTTTCCCATGTCAATAATTGGCAAGTGCACTTTTCCAGCTGTTTGGGTCAAAACCTGTGGTGTCATCCATGATTCTTCTTTTCTTACTCCTCATGTTCAATCTACTAACAAGACCTGGCAGCTCTACTTCCTAATCTCTAAACTCTGACCCCTTTCACCACCTCCTCCAGCAACCCCAGGCATCCCCTACATGCTCACTCTGTTCTTGGTGCCCTGCTACAGCTTATGCTCTGCCCATCAACCAGACATTCTTTAGATATAATAACATCATGCCACTTTCTGCTTAAACACTTCTCACCTCATTCAAAATAAAATCCAAACCCCCACATGCTCATGTGTCTGGCACTATCAGGCCTCTGCACCTCCCAGACCGTACCCCCACCCAATATGCTCCAACCACACCAGGCTTCCTGTGGTGTGGCTTGCTAACTCCACCAAGCACAGCCCTGCCTCTGGGCCTTGGTGACTGCTGTTTCCTCTCCCAGGACATACTTCCCCATCTGACAAGATTGCTCTCTGCTCAATTCTTCTGGGATTCTGCTAAAATGTCACCTGGTGGACCATTTGGCTGAAATAGCTTACCTGCCCTAACTGTACTCTCTTTACACACCATCTCGTTCTTCCAAGCACTTCTGACCACCATAAATATTTATATTTATATTTCTTGTCATCTGTGTCCTCTGGTAGGACATAAACTCCCTGCGGGCAGAGACTATTTTGCTCACTGCTGAGTCCCCCACATCTAGATCAGTGTCTGGAGCACAAGAGGCTCAGAACACACCTGCTGTTGAATGAGCTAACAACCTGGCATGTGGAACATCCCTGGCTCCAAAATGCACAGTCCTGTTTATCCCCTTGCAAATTCTGTTTAACAACTCTCTTAAGGAATGTGTCACATGCAAATACTTATCAATGTGCCTCACGCTTGTTCAGGGAGGATCTGACAGGAAGAGAACTCAGACACCCTGGGCTTCTAATTCCATCTTTTGGGCTCATTTACTCCATACAGTGCAGAACCAGGTGGAGGCCTACTCCTTTCCAGTAAAAGTAAGGCCGTACTCAGGTTGAAAAGTCGAGGGTGGATTGATTTGGGCCTCTTCTAGGCTTTGAGATTATTTCTCACACTCCATCTTCCCTCTCCTACCTCACACACCTGACCGGGCCTGACTTGACTTTTCTCAGAAAACTTTACTTCTTAAAGTCTGAAGTTCGCCTTTGCAGTGATGAGCACAAGGATAGGCAGCTCAGCTCTGAGGGGCACCAGCCTAGGGAGGCTGGGCTGCCACCTTCTCCTGGAGGTTGGGGGCCAGAAGGGAGTGACTGTCCAGGACCACGGGGGAGCTGCATGGATTACGAACCTGCACTGACTCCAACATGTAAACTTCTTTCCCTTCAAGGTTTTGGGAAATAATCCACCTGTGGAGGGAGTGGAAATTGCAGGTTTTGTTCCATCTCCACATCCTCCCTAACTTGCAGGATAGAACATGGAAAACTAACAGATGAAGGTTCATGGTAACAGACAACATAACCTACAGATTCAGATAGTAGGATCTGAATGGCTTGGTAACTTGTAATTCATATAATTATCTGGCCTTTATCTGGTCTTCAGTTTTCTCAACAATAAAATGAGGACAGCACCACCATGCAGATTATGCAGGAGCGCACACTAACGTATTTCATACAAACACACTAGCGTTGCTGTCATGTGAAGTGGATGGGCCAGTCACCTATCTGAGCTCAGTTATTTTACCCTTAAATATGATCATAGGTGATCTTCCAGCTCAAAACACTTTCATCCTTCAGTGAAAATTAAATATAGTTTAAGCTTGTTCTGATGGAAATGACACCATTGAGCCCATTGAAAGTTTCTATTTCTTTAGTCTTCCCTGTGCTTTGTCCTTCACTCACTCGCATCTTTCAGTGCTGAGGATGAATTTCACCTGTTAGCATTGTCTCCAGTTTACATGTGGTGTCTCTGTTCCTGCATTTTTCCGGAGCACTTTGCTGCTTCTCCTAGCACACATTTTAAAAAATGTAGCTTTTATTAGGCTTGGCTGGTCGCATAAAATGCTCCTTGAGGACAGGGAATACCCTCTGGCCCTCTGTATCCCCACAGACCTACAAGCACTTTGCAATTAAGAGATGCTCAATGAACAGCTAAAGAGATGTTGAAGTATCATCAAACCCTCATTTACATGTGGCAGTAGAAGAAACTGTGTTTTCTGCCTTTCCTTCAGTTAGGGAATGGTGTAATGCAATTCAATAGCAAGATTAAGAAATAAGTATCAAGAGAAATGTGCTTTCCTCAATAAGTTTTTTCACTATCAAAGCTTAGACAAGGGACCTAATTAGATGAACAAATAGACTGAAACACTAAATGGGAACCTGGAAAGGAAAGAGACTCCACAGAAAGAAAATTCTTAGATATGTAAAGGGAGAACATTTAAAGTATGTAAAGGGAGAACATTTAAAGTATCACAGAGGAGGGAAAATAAAAAAATCTACAGAAATCGGAAATGATGTCAGTGATAGAGAAGATGAATTGGGAGGCATTTTACAATTGGTAACATGCTTTTTTATATAAATTAGCAGAACTGAAATGAGTAACAAGCCTATTAATAAGATGGGACAGGTTTGGGATTCTGAGCAGAGAGGAGATAGAGAGCTGTGTGCTCTTGGGAAGCTAATTATAAGAATCTTGAGGAGGATTTTGTGCACATACTAACCAAAATGGTGATGTCTACAAAGGGGCTTTAATGTAATTTACAAAATAAATGTTTCCTGAGCACACAGAGTAGTTGTGGTGAATTGTTTCTCTGGGCTTTATTCTTATGAAAGAAACAGAATGAAAATGAAATTAATTCTTAATTTTATTTTCTGGATAATTTGTATACTTTCCACAAAAAGAATTTAAGATAACCCACCAAATTTATACACAATAACTATAGTTTTTTTTTAAATGAATGAGTACATTAGAAGAAAAATTGAGGTGGGAAAGGTTAAACAAATTCCAGAGAGAGTGGTCAGCACAGGTCTGCTTGCCCTGAAGGCTGCTGTCATTTTAGGCCAGGACACATAGTTCTCTGGCTCATGGGGTGCAGAAGATGAGACACATCAATTTCTCCACAGAAATATAAATGTTGCTAGCGCAGAGCAGAGATGGAAATGCCTCACAGGCCTGTCCATAGAGAGGATATTGTGTTATGGCAGGACATACCCTCACGGTAAATAAACCAGCAAATCTCACAGTTTTCTTACTTGTAAGGCTGACTATGGACTGACTCCAGATGGCTTTTTTAGTGTCAGAATGCAGACCACTGGAGTGAGGCATCTTGCTTATTTTAAGGGTAAAATTTTAAATATCTAGAAAAAAAGGGGCCATTATGTATCCTTCTGGTAGCTGACAGAAGCAAGTTTATCTTTCAGTTTTAAGAAGCAATGAGGTAACAGGTTATACTAATGAGTTATTTGGAGTGGAGCTATTACTCTTTGCTCAGTTGAGTAGAAACCCCTAGGCTTTGCTATGTTAGCTGTGCTGAAAATAGAAATGACATTCTCTGATGAAAATTAAGAGACCTAACTGGGGAAGATTCCATGTGGAAGGCCACAGCCCTGGAGGAAAGGCCTGTGACAGACCTCAGAAAGCTACTTGGGATCCTCACAGACCTATGAAGTAATTGGCCATCAAGCCTTCAAAGTTATATGCCACAGAGTATGGCTATGAAAATTTTGTACTGGGAGATTTTGAAGTGGGAGTTATGAGTTATCTATCTTGACCAAAAAAAGAAAAAAGAAAAGAAAGAAAAGGAAAAGGACCTCAATAAGACCTTGAATAGAAAAAACTCATTATATTAGATTCTCAGTGAAAATTACCTTATCAGAGGGTAGATGATTTAAAATAAGGAATCTTGATAACTTTATCAGCCATAGACATCTCCCATAAAAACTTGTGTAAAAGAAACCAAAGGCAAGTAAACTTGTTGACTCATGTTATACGGTTAACCAGAGTCAATTAATATTAATTGAATTAATTTTAGAGAATTGCTTTGACTTCTCTATCTGTATTCTACAAACATTACTTCTCCTTCATACAATCACTAAGGTCTCCCAGGTAAATTAACTCCAGGTAAATTAACTCCACAGTCAAGGTCTAGTAACCAAATTAAGAGAGCTCTGTCATCCCTGAAGTATGGCCATTATCTGTACTCTCCAGTACTCTGTGGACAACCTCAAAGAAACTTCTATCATCCTTCTCACGTATTTCAGCCTCTGGTTTAAATCTCCCACAGTCATTCTTACTGGAAGGAAGCTGGTGAACCACACTTCAGGGGCTTTATTCTCTGAAACAATCACAATGCACAGTGCACCACAGTAATAATATTTGAGGGACAAATGCATTGGCTTCCTGAGGCCAAGGATCCTGCCTTTCTTGTCACCTCTATACCCCCAGCACCTGGCACACAGCATTTATAAACACTTGCTGAATGCATAAACAGAAGAAACAAACACTTGAGAGTTTATCAGTAGCGATGCTGGCCACTTACATAACTTCATTCTCACATTCATCCTACACACAAGAGTGGTCTTTGCATTGTATAGAAAACTGGTACACCTGCCCTGAGCAAATAATAGAGCCAGCATCCAAATCTGGGTCAGCTCCACTCCAAGTCCTCAGCCACCATACCAGTTTCTCATTTGAATTCCTAAGGAGTGTAGTGACCAGGAGAAGCTCACAGATATTCCCCAGGGGGCTGAGGGTGGGTGGAGAGGGGCATCCAGCGAAGTATGGGTAGTAAGCACTATACAGGATATTCAATTCTCAGTGAATATTATTGAATCGCAAGGTCAGAAAAGACTTAAAGGAACCCTGATAGCCTTAAACCTGGTATCTTGTGTCCCCAGCTGATCCTTGGGAGCCCAGTAAAGGAAATCCTTCTCTACTGTCAGCAGACAGACATGCTCCCCAGGCAGTGTGGGAAAGGCCACACCACAGTGTGCTGTTTTCCCAGACTGCCACTCCAGCATGACACCAAGGAATGCCACCGATGACAGGCTGTGCTGCTTTGGAAGAATTTAGTCTTTCTGGATCCCTTATTCATAATCAGTAAAATGAAGGTCTTCAGCAAAAGAACCTATATGGTCCATACTGACCTCAAAACTCCAAGCTTGCCTGTTGCCCAATTGCTTCATACTGAAGTAGATTGTGCATATAAGACAAATCAGCTATGTTCTAAATATTGTTAAATCAGTTATTTGAAACTTAGAAATTATGTTTCACAGAAACAATGGTAATGGTAGATATGGTTTCCAAACCAATCCATGATGATCAAGTTAATCAATAATTCAGGCAAATACTACCCATATACAACCTAAAATATTAGAAAATTATAGTCAAATATCAGCAGTTACACAAAAGTGAAAAATGGCAATATCTGAGTTAAATAATGGTACTGAAAATGCAATTTTAATTTCATGAAGAGGTACTTCAGTAAAGTTTCTGAAGGGGTCATATAAATATTTTCAAAAGCTTTGGAAGGTGATTGTACTGGATTAAGACATCTTTCACTTTTAAATGGATGGCTTTCCTTTCTCTTAATATAAGATCATTATCTCTATACTTATTGCTTATCAGCCAGAAGCTGAAAGTGGAGAAATAAAGAGAAAAGAAAAATAAAGAGTTTGTAAGCAAGAGAATGAAGTCCTTGAGAGAGGGTAGGGAAATGATAAAGAGATGCAGAACATGTTCCTAAGCATGTCCATGACAGGTAATTATAAAATAGGACAAAGAGGGAGGGGGATAGCACAGCTTCAGGGAAGTGGATCATAAGAGAAAAAGTGAGCAATTGGTTATTAGATTATCCAAGATATCCACAAACTCATCTTTTTCTACAAACTGATACTGTTCAGGGAGTGCTATAAATATACTACATACAACTTCACTATAATTTCAGACCTACATATTTTGTCAGCAAATAGAGCTCAAACATTTAACACATATTTAACTGAGTATCTCCTCATATATGTCTTTGCTGAACATCATAAATGATTAAAGAAAATGAATACCATGTAGCCACTACTTTTTGGGATTCTTTGTTTACATTTTCATTTTTTTGCAGCTTCAAATCCCAGACACAGTGGTTGCAAGAAGCAGCATGCTTTCCTGATTAAGAACTCAGGCTTGAAGCCAAGCTTCTGGAGGTTAAATCCCAGTGCTGTGACCAGCCTCTCTTTGCTTCCCCCTCTGTAAGATGGGAATAATGAACAACACTACCTAAATCATGGGGCTGGGTGGGAATGAACTAAGTTCATGAATGAACAGTGCTGAGAATGATGTCTGGCACATACTAAGTGCTCAAAAAATACATATTAGCTGCTATTATATTTGTATATAAAATCCACAACAAAAATACCTATTGAATTTTTCCCTTTTTATTAAGGGAAAAATAGGGTGC